AGAAATAAAAGACCATATACTAAACTATAGCAATCTCATCAAGATAACCTTGGAGGGCTGGGAGCAGGGAGAATGGGAGAAGCAGATTACAGTAAGTCCTCATTCACCACTGTCGCCCAACCTAGGCCTTCCAATTATCAGCACTGTGGGACACCCCAAAGTGGGGAAATAAACCTTTATTAACATCTAATACATGCTAACATTTCACAAAAATTATAATCTTCCCATTAATGCCATGAAATATTATCATTCCCACTTTACAGATGAGAAAACTGAGTATCAAAGAGGATAAGCAACTCGACCAAACACAAGGCAGCTTAAAAATAGCTAAGCTAGTTTTAAGTTCAGAACTATCTGATACCTCCCAGAATGGGAATACTCACTGAACCCTGGGGAGAGATGAAAACCTGCATTTAAAAAAAAAATCATTGAAGAGTCGTGATTTTATCATAAAAACACTGAAACTTTACTAATTTTTTATTTTTCCTATTTGACTTCTCAAAAAGGGTGGCATAGTTAAGAATTTTCTTTGATGTGGTTTTATAACTGTATTCCCTTCCTCTCTATCCTGAGATTTTTCCCTAAGAATATTTACTTTAATCAGACTTGCATGATGTGGCTGGAAAAGAGGATATGCAATAACTCTTTCAAACTCTTTTATCTCTTTCTTTACCTTCCTGTGCTTCTTATGTGTAGGTGGCTGGCTCTGGTTTGTTTTCAAGAGCCTTTCCTTGAGTCTTTGCTCCAGAAGTTCTCTCCCTCGAATCATGCGTTCCTGGTGATCTTTAATTTGCATCTGCTCCCTCTCATTTACCTGCTTTTTTCTCTCTGTGTTCTGCATGCCATGCTCTTCTGGCACAATCTTCGGGAGTGTTGTTTCACTGACGGGCCGAAGTAGGTGTCTTAATGTTTTATTCCTGAGTTCTCTGGCCTTTCCTGTTCGATGTATGTGCCTTTCTATGTGTTTCAGCTCTCTCTCAGGTACAAAATAGTACCGTTTTTGTCCCTCTATGCTTTGGGTTGTTTTCTCCTCAGTTTCACTGTCTGTCTGTTGCTCTTTCATCATCTCCACTACTCTTTTATTATAATAAGACTCTGCTTTGGCAAGCCAGTAGTCAAGAGAGTGAGCCTGCTCCTTACAGAGTGTTTCATACTCCTCTTGGTATTTTTGAATTATAAGTCTTCTTGCTGCTGTTGTATGCACGCCTCCTAGATTCTGTCAAAGTAAGGTATAGCATTTTAAAATGTGACCATCTCTTTGAACACACTTAGAACAGGAGCCCACTCTCACTACTGAAACCAAGAAAAGATAATGGTCTTCTATTTACTGAAACCAAGAAAAGATAATGGTCTTCTATTTACTTTGGTGTAATAATTGTGGTTCTACTCCCATTGCTCCCACGTGAGCCATCACCCTACACTGCCTTATTCACCTATGGTGAATAAACCAATAATTAGTTTTTTAAAAATATAGTGTTTGAGGTTTTAAAAATGATACTTTATTTTATAACTATGGATATAACTATGGATATAGCTGGGAAACATTTGCCAGTGTAGACCTACTATCTGAAGATGTCACTTTGGCAGAAGGATTTTAAACCTAACATTTCTTCTCCTAGAGGTTACAAACTGTATGCTGTGAAAATAATTTATTTACCAAAATCTTTTTCTCCAGTGGGGACTGCTGACCTACAGCAATCCTAGGGTCTTTAGATGCTTTAGCCCAGGCTAATCTAGAAGATAAAAAAAAGAAAGATTAGAATGTGGGAAGTGTAAGGACACATCTGCCCAAATAATGTCCGAGTCAAGGAACCCAAAGGTTTTGGCCAAGGCCAAGGCCAAGACCATTTCGATCACAAATAGAAAAATCTGCTAATAGGCAGGGCTACAGCAGGGCCATTTTTCCCCTGGGAAACCAATGCGTTCCTACAGTAGAGAATAATGAATGCTCTTTTAATAAGAGGATCTTTCCTTTCACATGAAAAGCATACTTGTCTTGTGGACTCAACTTGAACCATTCTGAATCCTGTATCTGGGATTGGGAGTGGGAAGAGACGGACTCCTTGGCAAAGTGTTGCCCAGACACATCTATGTCAGATTGCTCGGTCTCCCGGTCTCCTTCATCTTCTGAGGTAATTCTAGACTGTAATGCTCTGAGTTCATTCTCTTTCTGTAGTCTCTTGAGCCGGGCCCTCTCTGCCTCTATCAGGACATACAGCATCTCTGTACTCTAATCTTTTGTTCTGAAATTCTGTCCTTATTTGCTCTCCCACCCCTCTGCTTGCCTGCCTTATACTGCCAATCATCCTTTTCACCCTAACTCCATTATGAGACCATTCACTGTCAAACCCCTCAGGATGGGAATATGCGGTTACTCTGGGTTTATTTATGGGACAAGCTGACAGCAACACAAGTGAAAACTACTAACTTTTTATGTGTCATCCCTGGTCTGATCTGAGTTTACTGTGAGGTCACATTTAAGCCACCAGGATGCCTGGCATTTCATCTCTGTACCTTTGTTTATACCATTTATGGTTACGAGCATGGTCTTTGAAGCCTGATAGGGCAAGGTTTGATTCCTAATTCCATCACTTCCTAGGTGTGTGACCTATGGCAAGTAACTTAACCTCTCTCTGTTGGTTTTCTTACCTACAAAATGAAGACACAAGACAAAAATCTGCCTCTCAGGGTTACAAAGGTTAAAAGAACAAATCTGAATCAGATGTAAAGAGCTTGGCACATGCTTCAAATATGGTGAGTAAATGGCAGTTATTTATTCTTCACAGGCCAAGCCCTGACTCTGTATAAATTCTTTCCAGCGTACACAGTGATTTTCCCTTTCTCTGAACAAAAAATCTTTTATTTCTACAACTCTTTTGAAAATTAATCATGGTTTACATTATGACATCTATATCGATGTAACACTTTTCATATTTTGATGCATTATCTTCTCAACTGAAATTTAGGCTCATAAAGGGTAGGAACTATTATATCCACAAAGATAATATGATCTGTCTATATCACCAGAGAAAATCTGATATAAAAAATTCTGTGACACTGACCTCTTAGGTACATTCATATTGCCTGACAATGTATATCTATTTTTAGATTTAAAAATTTGACTTTTCTCTGTATATAGCATCTAACACAGACTTAACATTAAAATCTGTGATCCCAAGTTCCCTCCTAGTTCTCAAAATTAATGATTTGTTGATTAACCTTATCAGATAATATCTGAGCATCTTTCTCCAGAGATCTGTATCTATCTTTTTAATTAAACATTTACCAGTCTTCCTTGAACTATATAGGCATATTTGTTTGATATGCCTGTCCTGGGCTCTCACATTTTGTATCTACTAGTGTACTTTCATTGTATTCTAATTATTCACTATGGATATAGCTGGTCAGAGAAGTTTTCAATGTTGCAGCCCCAGCCTCAGCTCAAAGACTGGCATAAGTGCTCATTATTTACTGAATACTTTGAGCTTTTGTTGTGAAGGGGCCATGACTTATAATGCTTGTGTCCCTTTATATTATTCAACCCATGGTGAATAGTCATTGAATGTTGTCAAACCTGAAAAGGGAGAGCTGGAGAGGGAGGAGGGCTAATTTCAATTTCCATTTGCAAGGCAGACAGACACGCAGAAAGGTGAGGATAAGAAGTGCCTACCCTCATAGGCCCAGCAACAGATCCCCATTGTAAGATAGAGAAAATGACACCCAGGTAAGTGAAATTATAGGACTTGTTACTCTCCGGCAGGTGGCTAAGAGTTTTTAACCCCTTCACTATTGTGAGTCTCTTCATTACTGTACAGATAGACCAGTGCCTCTTCCCAAAAGAGACCACGGCTTATATCCTTCAAAGAAGAAAATAACGATGACTCCAGAACTTTTCTATATAAGGAGCTTAGCACAGTTATCTGAGGATGGGAGAGCTGGGAGGGAGGGGGGAAAGTCATCTAGAAGCTGCCCTTTCATGACAAGAAGTTTACTCAGATTGTAGGTTAGAAACGAATAAAAATAGCAAGACTTTCTAAGGATATTTTTCTAAACGTATCTGTTCTAAAGATGTGTGTTTTATAAGATTACAGAATGTCAACGGCCCACCTAATGGATGGTAATGATTTCGAGTTGGCTGGGCAGGAGGCGGGAGAGGAGGGAGGGTGATCTTCAACTGACAACCAAATTCGGCCGAAGTCTTAGTGAAATCCTATCCAGTGGTTACCCCTTTAACTAATGCTAACCTCCCTCTTGTGGCAGGCGTCTGGGGGGGGAGCCCCAAACCGCCTCTCTTCTGCCACTTCCAAAGTCCTGAACCCACTTTATCCTTGCTTCATTTCGTCCCGCGGGAATAAGCATTCTTCCTTCACCTTCACCTTTACCACTTTCTACCCCTTAAGAAGCCAACTACCCCCTTCCAAGCGCCGCTAAACTTTCGCCTCCCCGCACCCCGGCACGGAGCACTAGCACTGTAACTCCCAGAATGCTTAGCCTTGCTTTTATCCACTGCGCAGCTGCAGAAAGAGATAGACAAACAAGCAAAAAAACCAAACCCATTGCTGTCCCCCCAGTTGATTCAGACTCATACCGATCCTATAGGACAGAGTAGAACTACCCTATAGGGTTTCCAAGGTTGTAATCTTTATGGAAGCTGACTGCCACATCTTCCTCCCGCGACAGAAGGCAGATACGGGCTCAGAAATGGCGAGAGTTGTAGTTTTCTAGTCCAGAGAAATTAGTATCCAGGGAGGTTAGTACGGTGTTGAGGGGAAGGCCCCATACGACTGGGTCCTTGTAGGATGCAAGGCAAAGGAAATAAACATCCTAGGGTCCTGGGGGGAAAGGCCGGCATCACAGCGTAAGAAAGCCGTTTTCTTATCTGACGCACAGTACCACGCTAAAAAACGGCTTCCCAACTTCTCTTAAGAGACCTTCTGCTCCTTCCCGAAGTCTCTCTGGATCAGGTTCGCGACTACTTATGACGTCATAGCCAATAGTGAGCCAGAAAGCCTTGACGCTCTAGCCCGCCACGCTCTCGCTGCCTAGCCGCCAGGGCGGAGACAGCGCTGTAATCCGCGGCTTTTCCTTGCGTCTCTCCTCTTCCCCAGGAATATCTGTAGGTCTTGTGGTCCTCGACGAGGGTTGGGTATTCCGGACACTTCGGTTCCCTGGTCGCAGAAGCTGGAGACATGCAAGGGAGGAGGGCTCGACCTATATATATCTAGGTCCTGGGACAGGATTGGAAAGACTTCTGAGTGGGAAGGTTTTAAGAAACCTTCCTTTTGTTAATAAAGTCCTCCTCCTCATCCCAATCCTAGACCATCAGTCACGTCATGGACCTCGCCGGCACCTGCTCCACCTTCCAGTCGGACCTTGATTTCTGCCCGGACTGCGGCTCGGTACTGCCTCTGCCCGGGGTTCAGGATACGGTCACCTGTACTCGCTGTGGCTTCTCCATCAACGTGCGGGGTGAGGAGCTCGTACGCAGCGGTCCCGGTGGAGGACCCAGGGTAGAAGGATCAGAGGCTTGGGGACCCGGAGATAGGCGGGAGTGGGGAAGGGGACCTTGGAGCAGGAAATTAGGCACTTGTACATTTGGTCCAGGAGCGAGACCCGAAGGGGACAGAATTGGGAACTAAACGGGGCCTCCCTCTGCTCGACTCCACAAACAGTTCTTACCTCCTGTGCAGATTTCGAAGGAAAGGTTGTGAAAACTTCGTTTGTGTTCCACAAACTGGGGACAACCGTGCCTTCGTTGGTGGAGGAAGGACCAGAGTTCCAGGGACCTGTGGTAAGTTAATGAGATCAAGAACTGTCCATAGGGGGAGGGGGTGATTGCAAAGATTTGGAGAGTTTTGGACCCAGTTCCAAGAGTGAAGAGGAGTCTTTAGAGGAGATGTGTCTGTGGGGTGTGATAACCTGATTCCTATGAGAAGTAGTGGGCTATGACTAGGCCTCCCCTAGCTCACTAGTTTCTTCCCAGATTGACAGACGCTGCTCCCGATGTGGTCATGAGGGAATGGCATACCATACCAGACAGATGCGTTCAGCTGACGAAGGGCAGACTGTCTTCTACACCTGTACCAACTGCAAGTAAGTATTATTTCCTTTCCCTCTGCCTTTCTCAGTCTGTTTGCTAATGAAACAAATACAGTGACTTAACATTTTTACTAACGAACATTTTTTTCTTTGATCTCATGTCACATTTGTATATAGCTCAGGTAACAGGGAGATATGTGGTCTTTTTTTATTTAAAGAAATTACTCTTTCTTACCTTTTGTATAGCCAGTAATCTAAACTTTTTAAAAATATTTAAAAAGAGATGAAAAAATACAGAAGGCAGGTATTGCTTTGTGGCCACCATGTTATGCTGGAGCCTTCCACTGTAATCTAGGTAGTTTTACTTTGGTGAGAATTAATATAGAGTGTGGACTCTGAATGGTTTTGAGAACTGGTCTTTGATGTTCTGCAGTTTCACTATAATGTATCAAGATGTGGCTATCTTTCATTTATCCTGTTTGGATTTGTTGGACTTTCCAAAACTGGGGATTGATTTTTTTTATCAACCTTATAACATTATTAACCATTATCCCATTGAATGTTGCCTTTTCCCCGTGTTTAATTCTCACATTCTGAACCTCTAATTAGTTATGTAAGGAGTCCCTGGGTGGTGCAAAGGGTTAAGCGCTCAACTACTAGCTGAAAGGTTGGCTGTTCGAACCCACCCAGAGGTGCCTTAGAAGACAGGCCTGGCGATCTGCTTCTGAAACCCTATGGAGCAGTTCTACTTTGCACATGTAGGGTCGCCATGAGTCAGAATTGACTCGATGGCAAACAACAATTAATTGTGTATTAAACCTTCTATTCGCTGTTTCTTTCAACCTTTTTGTCTTAGGTATCTAGTACTGCCAAAACAGAAATACCACAAGTGGGTGGCTTTAACAAACAAATTTTCTCACAGTTTAGGAGGCTGGAAGTCTGAATTCAGGAGGCTAGATGTCTGAATTCAAGGCACCAGCTCTTGGGGAAGGCTTTCTCTCTCTGTTGGCTCTCGGGGAAAGTCCTTGTCTCTTCAGCTTCTGTTCCTTGGTTCTTGTGATCCTTATGTGGCATGGCATCTGTCTTCTTCCATCTCTGCTTGCTTAATCTGCACTTTTATATCTCAGAAGAGATTGATTTAAGACACATCCTACACTAATATGGCTTCATTTAATGTAACGAAGAAAAAACATCACCAGATGGGATTATAACTGCAGGTGTAGGGGGTTAGGATTTACAACACATATTTTGGGGGGGACACAATTCAATCCATAACACTGTCTTTCATATTTTCCATCTCTTTTCTCTCTCTCTGCTGCCTTCTGGGTAATTTCTACAGGTCTCTCTTGTAGATTACTAATTCTGTCTTCAGTTTATTTCAATTATTACTTTTTTTTTTTCATTTTTATGAGTTCTGATCTCCTTAGTTTGATTAGTTTTCAAATCTCCTTAGTCATTTTTAACAGTAATTTTTGAGTTTTTTTAAAATAAATAACTATTTAAATGCATATTATATTTAAATTGAGTTATTTATATTCTGTATCTGATAATTCTGATATGTACAGCCTTTGTGATCTGATGCTGCTGTTATTTCTGCTGACTCATGGTGTTTTTTTCTTTGTGGTTTTTTTTTTTTTTTAACTATAAATTCAGGGTTTTTAGAACTTTAACTATGGGAATTTTCTGAGGCTTGGAGTGAATGCTGTATTGGCAGCGTTTGCATTTGCTTTTCCAGGTGCCTTGAGGCACTACGAAGCTGGAATCCCTTTAAATAAATTCTTGGCTTCAGGTTTTTCTAACCACACAGGTAGTATGAATTTGGGCTGCAAAACCGTGTAAGGGCCAAGCTTATGGTTAAGAAATTCTCAGGGAAGATTTTTCTCTCCCTCTACCTATTTGAGTCAACTTCCCCTTCTACAGAGCTAGATTTGCTTTTCCTTATTCACTTTTACATAGAGGAGTAGCTCTTTGGGTGGGGATGGCAAATTTATAGGGATCTCCTATCAGACGTTGTAGGTTTTGTCTCTGGTTTCTTATGCTCCATGTGGCTTTCAAAACAGTAGTTCATGGGCATAAAAGATAGCAGGGGACTTGAGTTTTAACCGACTTGTTTGGATTCCTGGTTTTACATCATTTTTGACCAGTGAAAAGATTGCCTTTACTTTCTAGCCAAATCATCAATGGATTTTATATAGAGAGAGTATTTTCTCCTAGTCTCTGGCTTGCCTGTTTATTTTCTTAACTTTTTTTATGAGTAGAAATTTTTAATTTTAATGTTTATCCATTTTTTTCCCCTTTTATGGTTAATATTTTTTGTATCCTATCTAAGAAATCTCTGTGTACTTCAAGGTCATAGTTCATCATATATATTTTTTAATCACAGTGTCTTTAGTTGTTCTGAACATGTTTAGGAGATCTAGTTCTCCACAGTGGCATAAATAAAAGTCCTTCCTTAATTCTTTAATCGAGTGTCTCATCTTACACTGCTAGAAACTCTTCGTTTGGCCTAATATAATGAGTCCTTTCTTTTCCATAGGTTCCAGGAGAAGGAGGACTCTTGATCTTTTTTTTTTTCTGGGCTACTCAACAATTTCTCCCTCCCTCTCCTCTTCCTTGGAAGATGAAGAATATTGGGTCCTTAGATATGCTGTCCATGACCTTTGGTTGCAGTATCTTGTTCTCAGAAGGAGAATCAGATCATGTGGGAATTACCGTTGCCCTCAGAGCACTCCTATCCCTAGTTTATTTATTAAAGTTATATGTCGGAGTCTTCTAGAGAAATATGTATGCTATTTATAATCCGCCTTATTTCAAAAGGAATTTAAATGAGTTTACAGAGATAAATCTGTTCTTTCAGCAAATATATCAACTACAGAAAAATAATATAAATTAATAATACATGACAACAAAAACAAACAAAAAACACAAGGACAAAAAATGGAGCCAGAAATGATGGTAATATAAAAAAGCAATTATAAGTATTCCCTCACTATAGAAATCTATTTGGTTACTGAGTTTAGGAAAACAATAGTGAAGTTTGGACAGTGAGCAGTTCAACCAAAAATTTAAATCTATTTGGTGTATAAGTTTGGGCAACAAATTCGATACCAAGGAATACCAGTGTATACTTCTGAGAGTGAACAAGAAATTACTTAAATGGAATTTTTTTTTATTTTACTGCTGCGGTGCAGTAAATTACTTAATGTGGCCCTTCTAGCCATAGTCTTTATGACTCTTATACAGTGATTGGGTGGGACTATGCAAATAAGGTGCTTGTCCACCAAGGGGATTCGACAGCTTGTTGCTAATGCAAATAAGGTGCATGGAACCCTTGTGGGGTTGGTACCATGCAAATAAGGTTTATGGAACCCTAACAAGGGGATTGGTCAGTTTTGCCATCCCACTAGGCTTAAAGGAAGACACTGGGAGAGAGGGGGAGGAGCTGTAACAGGGAAAACAGCGAGAGACCGGCACAGCAGTAGCAGGAGTGATAGCAGCGCAAGATGGCACCGAGTTAAGAGTTGAAACACTTGCCTGAGAAGGCCCCACGCAGGACCCAGCAGCAGAGGGTGAGAAGAAGCTGTCCTGATTAAAAACTGTATCCTGAGTTGTTCTGTTACTTTGAGTAACAGATCCTGATCCTGCATTGTACCTTGTTATTTCCCTAATAAACCACTTAACCGTAAGTACAGTTTGTGAGTTCTGTGAGACATTGCAGCGAATTATGGAACCCAAAGACCAGAGGGAGCGTACTGAGGGGAGGGGGGAATAGCTGATGTTAGAGATGTTGGAGTGGTACAGCAGTTTGGGAAAAGCTGGACATTTGGGACATCTTTAACCTCCACCTGATAGGAATCAGCTTTCTGCTGACCCTTAGAAATTATTCATGTAACTGCTCTGGAGATAAATGTAACATAGAACTATGTGGCCCTTTATGTACTCAGAGCTTTCAAACATACACATCCTGTTTTATCCCTGCAGCAACTTGGAGAGATGGGTGGGGCAGTCTTCTGAACTATATACTTGGACTGTTCTGGTAGTTGAGTTTCCTGCTTCACTTCCAAAATCTGAAACAAATCTGTGAATGTTTCAACCGTACTTTAAGCCTTTCCGTGGCTCATAACGCTACCTGGATAAAATCCACGTTTCTTAGCAAAGCATACGGGGCCTCCCATATAACCACTGTCTACCTGTCAAGCCTCATCTGGCACTCTTATATCCCAGCAATACAAAAAAAAAACTTTGCATTTCTTTCAGTGCACACACCTCCGACTTTGTAAGCTGTTCTATCTAAAAAGCCTTTGCCCACCTCCCCGGTTCCCTTCCTTTTTACCAATTTCTTTTGCTCCCCAAGACAGTATATGTATTTGTATTGCAGCACAAATTGCCCTATATTGTAATTTCTGGCCGTTTCTCCACTTAGTCTTATTCATGTCCATCCCAGTGACTAGCTCAAGCCAGAGTATGTTGGCAGTATGCAGTTGAATTGCTTCATAGATCAGATTTTCTCCTATTTTAATATCCCAGTGACTTATGTTTGCTAATTATCTGCATGCCTGTCTTTCCCACTAGTATGGGAATGTGTTTTAGGCGCCTTCCTCTTCAGCTCCTAGCACAGTGATTGGAAAAACCCAAGTTGAAGGTGCATGAAGTGCCCTGCCTGCACACCTACAGGTACAGCGCGAGGGCTAGAACCAAGATCGTTCGATTCCTCATCAAGGGTACTTTCAGCCGCACCAAGGTTCGGTGTCCCTAATTCCCAGAAGTAACGATCAGGAAACGGGAATAGGCCATTATAGGGTCTTTACTATTGCCCTTTAGTTTTCTCCACCCCACCTCACCCCAAGGGTTAAGCGTCTGGGGATCAGCCACTGAACATCTCAATCCTCGTGCTCGCGTCGGGCCTGGCCCGGCGGGATGTTTGCACCGCCTGACGGTTCTCAGGTCTTCTAGACCGCGCATCCTGCTTTATCTCTCTTGCGCGTGCACGTATAGCCCTGCCGTTTCCCACCTTTACACACAACCGCAGCGACGCTCTTTCCGCCAAATAGCCAGTTCTTCTTGCTGCGCCTGCGCAAGAAGGCGGAACTAAACCGGCGACGCCTGCGCTCTGACGCATTTGGCGGGGGGGGGGGGGGAAGGGGAGCTACAGCAGTCGTCACACCCGGAAGCGGAGAGCCGGAAGTGGGGTTGGAGAGGTTATCCCCAGGGGTGGGGAAGCGGAGGCCCAGGAGGAGGGGGAAAAAAGAAGGCGGAGGTTCCTGGCTACTACTCTGAATCCGATCCCGATTCTCTCAGATCTCAGAAACACTGAAAAAGGAAAGGGTGTCTCATCCCCCTTCCTCCCTTCCGCCCTCTCCTCAGCCTTAGCCATGGCCGAGGCAGGGGCCGGGCTGAGTGAGACCGTCACTGAGACAACGGTTACCGTGACAACCGAGCCCGTGAGAAAGGCGGGGGGCGGTGCTGTTTAGGGGTCTGGGAGATACTGGGAGGGAGGGGGTAGGTCTTTAGAGAATTGCTCCAGGGACTGGGCTTGGGGGTATGGGAGGAGTTGGGTTGAATATCTGGGATTGGGAGAATCACAAGATAGTGGGGATAAGTGGACGGTGCAAGCGGCTAGTCAAAGGATATGTAATGGCTTAGTTAGGATATAGGTGATGCTGCTTGGGATGGTGGTGTAACTAAGTAGTGAAAGAATGAGAAATTAGGGGTAAGGACCAAGGGAGGTGTGGGGTGGGGGGGACCAAGGGCTGTGTAAGGAAGCATGGCTGGAGGCCAGTTGTAGGAGAATTTGACTGGAAGCATACTTAATAAATATTTTTTGAATTGAAAATAAAGAGGAGTGGAGGGAATGGGGGAACAAAAAAAGGGAGATGAAGAAATAAATTGCATTTTTGCAAAAACAGATTAAGTTGCTTTCAAAGGGAAAAGGTTGCACTGGGCTTACTAACCTCTGGATTAAAGAAGTTTAGAATAGTAGTTACCAGAGATGCCAGGATGCTAGGGAATAGATGGATAGGAGGTGGGAAGGTCTGAAGTGGAGGATGAGAGGGGTAAGAATGGAGGTCTTTCTTTAATGGAAAAAACAAATTGGGGATCTGGATAAAGAAAAGATCAAAGATGAGGCATTGGAGACTGAGAAAATAATTTGCATGTATTAATACCACCAAGGATGATTTGGGAGGAAGACAGAGATACAGCAAGGATTATATTTTCCTTTGAAGATATGCTGGGACCTTCCCTAGGTTAGGAACTGTGTCTTCTCTGTACACTAGTGGATATCAAGAACAGGAAATAATGCTTCACTATTCCTCGGGGGACTCCCTGAGGCTAAAGACCTGTTCTGTTTTTTCTTTTCCCAGCACTCAGCTCCTCTAGTACTGTGTTTATGGTATTGATTGAGCTGGGGAAGGGAGGAGAAAAGGCCCCTGGGAGGGAGTGGGAATGGTCTGTTGGAGAGTAGATAGGTATGCTGATCCCTCTTAACCTTCCAGGAGAACCGGAGCCTAACCATCAAACTTCGGAAACGGAAGCCAGAGAAGAAGGTGGAATGGACAAGTGACACTGTGGACAATGAGCACATGGGGCGCCGTTCATCAAAATGTGAGTAATTATTGGCCCACAGTAGCCCGGGAGTCTTGGCTCCCCTCTGCAAATCTCCCTTATATCCACTGGCCACCCTGAGGCCCCCAGATGCTTATGATCCTGTCACTGTCTTGGTCATTCTCTGGCATTAGAGAGAGGATGTTAACAATAGAGGGAAAAAGGTGGGGAGAGGGCTAGAACTGGGATGTGCCTTGGCCTGAAGGCAAGAAGTAGCAGAGGTTAGAGGAATGGGGCTTTGGATTCCTGGCTTTCTAAAAGGAGAGCCCAGGACATGAGGGTTGGGTGCCTGACTCCCAGAGGGTGGGCCTGGGGAAGCTGGATCCTGGAAGGTAGGAGGAGGCCGTGGTGGATGTAGGAATTTTCACTGAGATCCAGTTGGAATGGAGCTGACTCAACACTTTCTCCTTTTTAACTGAGCTCCTCCCTCCACTTCCAAATCCAGGCTGCTGTATTTATGAGAAACCTCGGGCCTTTGGCGAGAGCTCCACGGAGAGCGATGAGGAGGAAGAGGAGGGCTGTGGTCATACACACTGTGTCCGGGGCCACCGCAAAGGACGGCGTCATACATCCCAGGAACCAACCCCCACCACCCCTCCCCAGCCTCCTGACCCCTCTCAGCCCCCTCCAGGGCCAATGCAGCACTAAATTCCTCTCTCCCCTACCATTCCTGTGTCTGCTTGGCCCTGAATGTATCCATGTGGCTACTTAGGGACTAAACCCATGGTTTGATCCCTTCTCTAGTCCCCCTCCTTCCCTCTCCTCTGGCGTGATAGAGGGAAGAAGAAGAGGAGGGTGGACAAAGATCCTGGAATTCTGACTTGCTGCTATACCAGAACCCAGCTTTTGGGTTCCCCTAGCCCTCATTTCTCTTCCTGATACCCATCCTCCCCTCCCCAGGGATCTAGGCATCTTGGTCTCAGTCCCCTCCCTTTGTTCTCACTGCCAAATGGCCTGTCCTGGGATCCAGTTATCTCAATCCCTTGCACTCTCCTTGAGTCCCAAACACTTAAATTTGGTTTCCAACAGCCCCAGGTTTCACTGCCAGGGTCCCAGTCAGATTCCAGGCAATCTTGTCCCAGCTTTGCCCATTATTCCTGGCTTAGAGCTATTCCAGTAATGTATTTATACAATCCTAACTCTTAGTCCTCGCCTGTGGGATGTGAGGTCTCGTAAGATACCTCAGGGCTCTCAGCCCTACCCCTCCCCTTGTGCTCACTCCCTCATTCCCTTTAGAGGAGTTAGGAGAGAGAGGTCTGTGTCATTCTCACCTCTAATAGAAAATGGAGCAAGAAATAGTCATGTCCTTTCTCACCCTTCTCAGATGATCTAGGATTCATGACAAAGCTGGCTTTGAGACTGGTCACTTAGAGCCAATTATCTCCTCAGCCTTTGGTCTTCCAGCTTCTGAGATAGATGTAACATAGTCCCAGGGACCGAGGTCCCTAGGGGAGGGAGAGAAAGGGGGGAGCAGAGAGATGGGGGTGTGCCCCTTACACTCTTAGCCCTTTCTTCCTAGGCTTTAATGTCTCTGCCAGCCTAGATGTCCAGTTCTCTCAGCCCTTCTAACCTCTTACTGGGACCTAAGATCACTTCCCATGCCTCTTGACATGCACGGTTGCAGACATCAATCAAATCCATACCACCACGGAGATCTCATTTATTGCCACAGATGCACAAAATAAATAACCCAACATCACAAAACGTGTTAAATATGGGCCCATTTATACACATGAGGAAAGATGTGAGCCTATGTACAAGGTTGAGTTTCGGGGTATCTGGGCTATTCCCAGCTAGAGAGGAGAGGTAGCACCACTGGTTCCATTGTGTGAGTATGTGCAGGGGGAAGTCTTAAGAAAGTTCTTAATGGAGAAAGGCTGTGAGCATAGGAAGCAGTCATGGTTGGAGAACTGGCCCACCAAAAAAAGGAAAAAGGGCAGTTAAGCTTCCTGGGGGCCTGAAGCTCAGGCCAGAGTCAGGCCACCTGTTTTTAGGGGGAGACTCTTGTGTAGCAGAAGCTTCAAAGTGCACAAGGCAGGGAAACCCAAGCCTCAGAGGTATGGAGAAGGTGCTGAGCCCTTCTGTGAAGCTAGGAGAGGCTGGAGTGGGAGGTGAATAGCTGACTCCCAGGGCATCTGTGTTGTAAACATGGGTCGTTTATCAATACTGATGGGACAGAGCCAGCTCTCTAATTCAGGCCGGAAATCCTGTAAGAAGTGGAAAGGTCAGTTGAGGAGAACTGGGATAACAGTGGAGGAGAAGAGTCCCAAGAGGGAGAGGCAGGAATGGATTCGGCTTTGGGCGTCGATGTGGAAACCTGGAGACCAGCTGAGATCTTATTTTTGGGGAAAAGAGGCAATGTGAGTGGAGACGGAGAGAACCTTCATGCTCCACCACTGGGCATGTGGGCTTGACTCCTGGAAAGAGCCGTATTTCTGTGACCAAGAGATAGCAGCCGCCAGGCGGCTAGGCTGAAATGGGCGGTGGGGTGGGTGGCACAATGCGGAGTGGGGCGCGGGGGTCGCGGGTGCAGAGCAGTGGGAAGACGCGCTCTCCCAGCGGTCCAGGTGCCTGGAAGGCGAAGAGCAGGTCGAGAGAGCGGCCGTCGTAGAAAGCCACGCGGCCTCGCTCCCAGTCCAAGTCCACACGAATGAGCCGCGGCGGGGGCCCGGCGCCGCCCAGCAGAGTGGGCTCTGGGGCCGTGAGGGCCCAAAGGCGGCCGCCGCGGCCCTCCACAGCCCACACGGCCCCCGCGGGGCACAGCCCTACGCGGCCCTTGCGTCGCACGGACTCTCCGGCCGCGCCTATGGCGTAGCTGCTCTCCCCATCGTCCTCATCCTCCCCAGAAGAATCCCCGCAGGAGGTGGTGTCCGCGGTCTCCACCTCCCAGCAGTGGCGGCCGGCGCCAAAGCCCTGTGCGCCCAGCACTGCGGGGAGCTGGTCGAAGCGCTCGGGGCTGTCAGGGGGCGCAGACATCCCTGGTGGGGCCAGTCGGACACTGCGGCAGTCGGAGGAGATGATGAGGTGGCGGTGCGCGGTGCCAGGATCCAGGGTAAGGTCAGCTGGAGAGAGGAGGGCAGAGAGAGGACCGCGTGAGAGGGGCAGAGAATACTCGCAGAGAGTAAGGGTAAGGGTCCTAGAGGCCGCCAACAGCTGTGGGTGGCTGCAGAACCAAAGGAGGCGAAGGCAAAGGCGTATGATCTCAGGCCTGGGCGAGACCTCTTTGCGTGCTGTAGCACCAGTGACCTCTGCAGAATTGGACTGCGAACTGGCCCTGCCGGCTCAGGACGGAGCACAGCTCAAAGGGGAAGGTGCCTGGTTTGTTGGGTAAGAGAAGGGAGAGTGAGGCTGTTCAGGGACTTCTAGGGAGGGGTGAGGACAGATAGCTAGGCAGTGATAACTGGGTTCTTGCATGGGAGTTGAGTCAGCAGAATGAGGAAGGTGGACCTAAAGAGAAAGACTGATGATACCTGATATGGGAATCGCAAGTGACAGAGGGGAGGGGCAAAGGGAGGAATCCAAGGTATCCTGAGAAACCAGCCCACTCACCCACAGGAATAGGTGGGGGTGGACAGATAGGAAGGGTGGGGCAAAGGAGGATAGAGAAGGTGATGTTAGCCAGAGACCAGAGAAAATAACCATTGGTTTATATGTATGGGGTGCTTTGGGGAAAGGTTTCCGGGTTAGGGGTGCTAGAAACAATCTGGGTTGCATGGGATGGTGGGTGATCAAGAGAGTGAAGCATCTTCTCTAAGCAGTTTAAAGAAGGGTGGTGTGGGGGCAGCCTTGGGAGTCAGTGAAGAAGGAACTCTGGGCACCCCAGAAGCTGCAGGGAAGGCCCAGAGTCCAGAGGCAGAGAGATGCATGGGTCCTGGGACCCTTATGGAGAAGGGTGATGAGAGGTGGTGGAACAGAGATGCCTAGGAGGCAGCTGGTCTCCAGGGGTCTGCACTGTGAGTGTATGTAAAGGGAGGATGAAAAAATGGCTGGGAGATGAGGAGTTGAAGATAGACATCGAAAAGGACTTGATCATCTTTGGAAGATAAAAGGAGAAAACCTAAAACAAGCTCATTCAGTTCCCTCCCTTCTTTCTTCCTTACCAGTCAGTCTGTGAAGCATGTTTTTGACCACTGGGTAATCTTCAGGGAGGTCATCCTTTGAGTTAGGTGACTTGGGCATTGGGGCATCAAATCTGAATAGACGAGGGAGCAGAGTCAGGAAGTTGTTAGATACCCCTCTGTCCTGTGATGCCCCACCATCATCCCACTCACATCTCTGAAATAGGAAGGGGTGAGGCCATATCCAGAGAGCCAGTCTGTAGGTGGGGGCAGAGGTGTGTGCACAGTAGTGAAAAGGAAGGAACAGTAAAAGAAACTCACCTGCTCCATGTCTTTCTCATGTCCTGGGGTGAGCAGAAGAAAACATGGATGTGAGCTCTGGGTTTCATACTGTGGGAACCCTGTCCCTCCTCCCTCCCTCCCCAGGTGTGAGTTGGTGATGCCCCTCCCCACCTCTCAGAGTGATCTCACCTCTTTATCACCTGTGCCCCTTTTCCTCTCATTCTCCCCCTTCCCCTTTCATGACCCTTCCTTCTCTCACTCTATCACTGCTTTCTCATCCTCCTAACTCCACCCCCTCTGTCCTCTTCTCCCTATCCATTCCCCAGGGGTTCTTGGTTCCCCTTCCCCAGCCTCATCCACGCTGTTTCTTGTCCTCAGAGTCCCTGCTGCCTGCTGCTTCCTCAGCCCCTCTGTCTCTTTCTTTTTCTACTATCTTTTTCTGTCTCCTATCTATCTATCTGTCTCCTTTTTCTACCTTCCTGAGTTTATCCCAGACAGCTATCCTCCAACCCCCCGCCTCCACCCGACCTCCACACACACCAAACACAACCCAAAGCCCTTGGACCAAGCTGGCCAAAGAGTTGGTATATAAAAACCTTATAATAAAGCTGCCATAAAAGCCCAGTAGCATTTATTGGCTCTTTGCTTTGTGTCTATCTACCCTAACCAGGTGGGCAGCTGGGCTTGGATGTGTCCCAAGAGGCCCAACAGATCTGCAGGGTATCATGGGAGCAGGAGAGGGTAGAGTACTCCCCCATCACTTTTAATACTAGAACACACCCCTCCCCCAACACACACACCCACTTCGATTTCCAGTTGGGGTGGCAGGAGCGGGCCAGTCTGGTGGAGCTGGGGAGAGAAGAAAGACAATTTGCCTGATTAAGCCAAATTACACCTAGACTAATTACGTCTGTGAAGGCTTCAAAGGGAGGAAGCTAGGGCTGCTGCAGAGAAGCCAAGCGGGAATCCAGATGCCTGGGGGTCGGCCAAGAAAATGAGGTTGGTTGGTGGCTGGAGCCGGTGGTGGATGGGTGCTAGGGCTAGGATGTGGAGAGGAGCCAGGGGAGCCCCCAGCTGCTCTCCCGGACCTGCCTTCTCCCACCACTGCCCCTGCCTGGGGCCCTGGGACGACCGAGGACAGCAATAATAACACACAGCTTAGGCTCACGGCCGAGGCCAGGGCCCAGGGCTACTACGCTATTGGGGCGGTTGGTACTGCTCCTTCCTACCTGCCCCACTCCGCTTGACAGCCCCTTCCTTTCTGCCCTCTATTTCAGCTTCTCCTGCCCTCTACTTCAGCTTCTCCTCCACCTCCTCTGTCCCTCTCTCGGCTTGCTGCCTGCCGGCGCCCTCCCCTCTGCCACCCCTCTTCTCTCAGGGGGCCGAATGGCGGCCCTCTTCGTCCTGCCTCGGTTCCCGCGCTCTCCTCAGGGTATCAAGGGGGCTCATCGAGTTTTCTGGCAGCTCAACCTTTTCGTTCACTGCCCAAGCCCTTCTCTCCAGTTCCTCTCACAAGACTCTGGCATCCGTCCAGCCCAACGCCTCTTGGCCAAGTGTCAACTCCTTCCCACTGTCCTACCTGGAACCTCTCACCAAGGTCAGCCCCGCTCCCCCATCCTTTGCTTTTCTCTCATCAACTCCATCCCTTGCCTAAACTTCTATAAGGGGTCTGGCTCCGGGGGTGCCATTGCTCGTTTCCCCAGGGAACCCATGGATGCGCCCCCCTCAACTACCAGCTCCGGACCCGCAAAGCCCACCCCGCCTCACCTCTCCCTGCGGATCCAGCCAGCCGATGGTGGGGATACGGCCCCCGCGGCGTCTGACGGCGCCCGCCCGGGTGTCGGCCAGCTTCTCGCACAGCCCGCGGCTGATTCGCACCTCCACCGCCAGCCGCACATTAGACCTCAGGCTGCGGCGGGGGCACGGCCGGCCGCAGCAAGGGCAGGCGGTGGGGGTGGCCTCGGTGCCGGTTGCTGGCCGGGGCCCCCAGCGGAGAACCAGGCACGCGCGGCAGAAGCTGTGCTCACACGCCAGGAGCACTGGGTCCTGGAAAGGGCCCTCGCACAGCGGGCAGGTCGCCAGCTGCTCCAGACGCTCCAACAGCCTCAGGTCCGACTCATGCGCCTCCATGGGGAGCCCGGGTCTGGGCGCCACCCCTTCCGCGACCACCGTGGCCGCCTTCGAGCGCGCAGATGGCGGCCTGGCCCTGCTGCTCGCTGACTCAATGAACTTCTGTTTCCCGCATTAACTTTCTGCGCCTTTGCTGCCGCTCTCCTGGGACTGCCTCGCTCTTCTCCCCAAGCCTCAGTCTTCGTGAATCTCCCCACCTCAGCAGGCTTTATAAGGAGGGAGGAGGCCCCCGGGGGAGGTAAACATCAGGCCCTTGCCTAACACCTCATCTGGTTCTTCCGCTTCTGGAGGAAGGTTTAGGGTAGGGGAATGGGACATCTAGGTCTCGAGTCGAGGAGGTGGTCAGTAGGGGGCGCTCTGAGGGCAAGGTAGCAATGTGTGGAGAGGGTAGCCCCCCTATATCGCCCCCTGAAGGGCCTGAATCTCACCTACCCCTCTGCCTGTGGTGCGCGGTGGGAAGGGTGCCCGGGCTCGCTCTTGGCATGCATGCCGACATTGCCAGGGTGTGAGTCATTTCAGGTGGCTGGCACACCTACATCAGGGGGCAGGAAGCACAGATCCTGGTTTGTGTGGCTTTGGCAGGCCTCTGGGTGTTGCTGTGTGGCTGTCATTCCCAGCACCGCTCTCCTCTCCGTCTTCCTGCCTTACCTATTTTGGGCTTAAGGACACCCTGAAGCTTTGGGGGCAGAGCGGGGAAAGAAGGCGTCCACACTCCAGCCTCCAAAAGCCAGGGTCCCGCCTCACAGCTCTGCTTCTGGTTGCCTCCTAGGGCCTCTATGTTACTGTCTTCCTATGTCTCTCTTTCTAGCTCTTTATTTTTCCCTCTGTACGCTTTTCTTTTCCTTGTTTTCTTTCCCCACTTCTTTGGAATGCACCCAAGGGATTATCTATTTTCATTCTGTTTATTCACTGAGGCCCAGAGAGCTGGAAGTGCCCAAGGCCACATGGCAAGGGAATATCAGAAGTGGAACAGTAATCCAAATCTCCAGACTTGCACCCTTTCTGTGACCTGACCCTTCTTCTTTTTCACTCCAGATCTCTGGAACTCCTTCTGCTTTCTTTTCTGATCTTTCCCTGTGCCCTCTTTCCCCACCTCCATCTCTCTCTCTTTCTCTTCCCTACTCCCTCTCCTTGTTCCTCGCTCCTTCGCCTCTCTCACTATAGACTGTCCATCTGTCCTTCTGGATACGCTTGCAGGTTTGTGAATAAGTAAACAGCCAGGTGTCTACAACTATGAGAACACACACTGTTGTACAAATAAGCATATGCATCACTGATGTCCAAACGTCCAAATGTGCACAAACTTATAGACAGATACACTTATATAATGCAGACATCACAGATATGCCCAACTCGTCTCATACACGCTGAATATCACTGGGATGGACACCCAGTGTTATTTAGGGGCAGATGGACATGCGCAAAGAAAACATGCGAAGAGACACTTTCACTAGTTTCACTAAGAAAAACAGTACGACAGTGAGTCTTTATGGAGCAACAGTGCTTTAATAGGCAACCCCCCCAGGCACCCACCCTCCCCCATACTTATCAAGGAGACACTCAGATATGACATCCTGATAAACAAGGCTGCACAAACACACACATACACTCATCTTGGAGTAAACCTACAACTCAATGCTCCTAAAACACACAGATACCTGAGCAAAAGACTATAGATAAGACCAAAATCCACAGTGTAACAGATGGACTTCCATGTTGTGGTAGGTAGAATAATGTCCCCCCAAAGATGTCCAGGTCCTAATTCCTGGAACCTGTGAAATGTTACCTTACATGGTAAAGGAAAATTAAGGTTTCAGATGAAATTAAGGTTGCTAATCAGCTGACCTTAAAGTAGAGAGATGATCCTGGATTATCCAGGTAGGCCCAGTGTAACCACAAGGGTCCTTAAAAGTGGAAAATGGAAGCAGAAGAGAACTAGAGAGATGGCAGCATGAAACGGACTTAGCCCAACGTTGCTGGCTTTGAAGATGGGCGAAAGGGGCCTTCAGCCGAGGAAAGTGGATGGCCTCTGGAAGCTGCAAAAGGCAGAGGAATGGAATGCTCCACTAGAGCACCCAGAAGGAATCCAGCCTTGCTAACTCCTTGATTTTAGCCCATTTCAGATTTCGGAACTACAGAACTGTAAGATAATAAATTCGTGTTGTTTCAAGTCACTAAATTTGTGGTGATTTGTTATGGCAGCAATAGAAAACAAATGCATATGCTTTCCCCTTTCTCCCTGTCTCTGGCCCACAGGGTCTGTCTGTTGTTGTTGGCTACTGTCCAGTAGGCCCCGATTCATTGGGTGGCTGTCTTTTTCCAAATGCAAAATGGGATGAGATGTGTGACCAGGGTTTTCAATGACTGATTTTCAGAAGTAGATCACTGGTCCTTTCTTTCTAATCTGTCTCAATCTGGAGGCTCCTGTCCAGCATCAGAGCACCACGCAACCCTCCACTGACAGACAAATAGTAGCTACACTTGAGGAGCACTGGCTGGGAATTTAACCAGTCTCTGCATGGAGGGTAAGAATTCTACCACCCAACCACCACTGCCATAAGGTCTGTCTGTACTTGTCTGTTTTTGTCCCTTCCAATTGTCACATTTTCTGGGTTTCTCTTCCTCTCGTGGTCTTCTAGTAGGTCCCCCTTTGTCTCTTTTCCTTTGGATTGCTTCATTTTCTTGGCTCCATGCCCAACTCCAAAGCCTCATAGACATTGAGGTCTTTCTGGATCTTGGCCTGGGGTACTAGGGAAACACCTTTGAGTGTCTTCAGGAACCTTGTATTATCACCAATCCAAATGCTTTGTCAAGGTCCTCAAGGCCTTTTCAGTGGTTTGCAACCTTGTGGATTCGCATTAGAATCATCCGAGGAACTTTTAAACTCTCAGTGCCCAGGCTACACCTCAAACCAGTTAAACAGAATCTCAGGGATGAGTCCTAGGCATCAGTAGTTTTTGTTTTCTTTTAAATTTTATTATGACAAAAATATACATAACAAAACATACACCGTTTCAACAATTTCTGCATGTGCAATTCAGTGACATTGATTATGTTCTTCAAGTTGTGCAACCATACTCTTTTTTCAAAATCACTCCACTACCATTAACATAAACTCAATGTCCCCTAAGCAAAATCTCTCCCTTTCCTCCCGGTAACAATTAATAACCTTTGGTTTCCATACATTTGCTTATTTCATATAAGTGAGATCATACAATCTTTGTCCTTTTGCAACTAACCTATTTTGCCCAGCATGATGTTTTTAAAGTTCATCCATGTTGTGGCATACATCAGGACTTCATTTCTCTTTATGGCTGAGTAGTATCCCATTGTGTATATATACCAAATTTTGTTTATCTATTCATCTGTTGATGGACATCAGTAGTTTCAGTAGTGTTAAAATCTCTCCAGGTTATTCCAATGTTTAGCTGAGGGGGAACCACTGTCTTACATGATGGGGTGAGCAGGTGGACTTATGTCTCCCCATTTCACTCTCTCTGCTCCAGCCACAATGTCTTTCATTTTCTGTTCTTTAAACATGCCAAGGCTGGTCTCACCACAGGACTTTTACACTCACTGTTCCTTTTCCTTGGGTCTCTCTTCCCCTAGTGCTTCGTATGCTGTCTCCATTTTCTCATTCACATCTTGACCCAAAGGTAACCTATTTATTTGAGAGGGCTTCTTTCACCACTGCATCTCAAGTAGTTTCTCTCAAAGGCACTCATCTCTTTACCCAGATATATTGTTTTCATGGTATTTATCGCTTTCTGAAATGATCTATTATTTGTTTGGGGCCTATTTCCATTCAGTAAAAAATAAGCTGTACAGGAACAGCAACTTAGGCATTGTGTTGGATGCTGAATTCCCTGCACCTCTAATAGTGCCTGGCACACAGTAAGTCTCAAAAAATGTATATCTGGTGATTGAATTGCCCATCACTGACTGGGCAAAACCAAAGGGTCCTTTGATTCTACCTAGACCTTCTAAGTGCCAAAAAAAGAAACTTTTTATCCTCCTCAATCAACAGCCATTCCTCACTGGCAGATGCCAGGCACAGTGCTGGGGGATGCTCAAGTGATGTGAGACATGGTGCTCAGTCTAGCTCAAGATGCTCATGGTCTAGTTGTCATTTGCCTTCTATAACCAGATAATGAGGATTTCTGCTAGCAATGCTTCAGCTCAGCCTTGCCACCCCAATTACCATGAGTTCATACCTAATGATTCTAGGACAGTGGTACAGGGAAAAGGCATTTGGAGAGAGTCTCTGCCAGGAAAAGTCTCACTTCTCAATACATCCTCCCTCCCTCACTAGAACCCATAACACTTTTACTCCTCTAGGAGTCGGAAGGGTGGAGACGATTTTGTGTGAGTGTTGGTTTAGCTTTGCTTGCTCCAGTTGACCAAGACTGGATCCTGCCTTTATGTTAGCATCCACATTTTCTCCTACCTTTTATAGGTGACTCCCATAACCCTTCCCATCCATTTTCCCATCCTTCCAGGATGCCTGCATGTGGTATTGTGGAATGTTACAGCTCAAAACCCATGCATGGCACAGGAGAATTCTGGAGATGGGACAGGCCTTAGCCTATCTCCTCATTTCTTTGCCTTCTCTCCCTCGTTCTCTGTCTCTTTTTTCCTTCTCTCTATTTCTTTATTCTTCTGTCTGTCTCTCCTCCACATCAGTAAGCTCCCCATCCTTTTAAATAGTCCATAGATCTTTAGGAGTACTCATAGGGGAGAGGTAGGTATGAAGAGACGTTTGGAAGACTGATGACAGGACAGTCACAGTCCCTGACCTCAGGGAATGTGATAAGACAGATAAGGTGTTTCTATCATCAACCAAAATCTGTTATTACCGAATCATAGAGGTGTACTGAGAGGGGAACAGTGGGCTGAGGATTATGTCAACAGGTTGGAGAATGAGTGAGAAGATTTCAAGAAGGCTTCCTGGAGGAGGTGACTCTGAATGAAGGAAGGTTGGGTTGAGCAGGAGAGAAGTGAAAAAGCCTGAACAAAGAATGTGATGCATTTTGGGGGAGAAAATTTAAAGTGGGAAAAGAAGGCCCAGGAGGTAAGAAGCACAAATGAAGGAGACCACAATTTGTTCTCAACTCCCACTTGCTATGCCCCCTCCCAAAGAATGATTGCTTCTATAAAGACTCATTTTTCCAAAACGACTCAATAGTTTACAATGTCCTTTAACATAACTGGAAGTTGTATTAGAGAAGGGCAGCTTTCCTGTGCAGTTGTCCCAAAACTCTGTCCAGGTAAAGTATCCTCTGGTAGGGAGGGCAGCATCAGGAGGGATGGATTTGAAGTGGAAATAGAGGGAGTAGATTCATCCAATCAATCTTGATGCTCAGAGACATGACCAATGTTCTAGGAACATCACCCTCATAGCCCGTTCTCTCATTTAACCCTCATAATAGCCATGGGGCCCAGAGTCCAGCCATTTTACAATGATGAAACCGGAAATTGGCATGGCAAA